GTGTCGGTCTCCCAGCAGTTCACCGCTCCCTCACAATAAGGCCACTGTGTGGTTGATAAGTTCACCATAACCGGGCGGTCCGTGATCGGCGCTACTACCACCTCCACCCACACCGTCTGCCTTGCTTGAATGCCGTAAGATGCCCAGGTGCGATCATCTTCCAACACCAGTGGCTCCGGCGCTTCCTCCTCCTCCTCCTCCTCGCTGCCATCACCGACCTGCAGCGGCAATCTGAGCGTCTGCCTGCTGACTGGGACACCGTATCGGGACTCCAGCACTTCCTTCGCCATCCTCACTGTGCGATCGAGCCTGGTGGCGATGTTGAAGTTAAGCCGGGTCCCTCCGATGCGCACAAACACAGAATTGGATCCGTCCATGGTTGTGTGGTTGATTTGCTATTGATAATATATGAACTAGCTAGCAATCAGCCAGCCAGCATTGGAGACATATGAATGAATTTATACAAGATAATAAGAGTGATCGAAGCGGGCGGTCGAGTTAAGTTTATCATAATAATTGGACATGAATTCACACATATATCAATCAGCCAGCCAGCACGATATAGATGCATGAAAGGAAGTAGGCATGTCATGCATGCAATTTGGCTTATACTTCTGTTCAAAAAATGAGAATGGAGCATCTGGCCGTCCGAGCTATATGCCTACGACCCCTTCTTCATGAAAATCCTATTGGGTCAACAGACCTTTATCCCCGGAGACTACTCATACAGCAAGGAGATTTCTGACAACCTAGAAATCATGGAGGCCCAGCTGCCCACCGGCCTTGACATCCTGAACATGGCCACGATCCCAAATGGATGGACGGAGACAAGGTAAGTTGAGTTGGGCTGGACCTCAACGGCCCATGCCTAGTAGCGCTTAGCTTTCAAAAGTGTTAGGACAATACTAATATACTATTACTGACGGAGATTCGGTGACTAATGTATGAAGGGGTAAAACATGTACAATCAAACTCCACCACAATTAGTTATCAAAAAAAAAAAAAAAAAAACTCCACCACAATTAACCATTTGTTTGTCCCCAAGAAAACCTACTCAAAATGATTAAAAAAAAAATTGCAAGACTTTTACAACGGTATGCATTACAGGTCGCCGGTAGCACTTACATAATCAATCAGATGGTTAAAAAATCTCACTTCCACCTCAATGCGTAAACACAAACTCGGATAGGGACCTTCCCGATTAAAGAGGTCAAGACGCTTCACATGTGCACTAGACTCTAAAAAAACGTGTCAAAAGCAATGGACTCAGTGGTAATACTCCTACTTTAAAGAGCTCACATTTCAAGCCAACAACTTAAACTTTGCAGAACAAGGCACTACACTAGCATTTTTGCACAACAGGGGCTCTCTATCTCATGGCTAAGAGCAAAAGTGATATTGACTTCTCTTTCTCAATCACATGTGGGGAAAGTGATGGTTGAGAGGATGGAAAAGTGTAGGAAGGTGAAGCGTTCGGACATGAGTCCTGATCTCTCAAGCACAAATTCCCATCCTGCACTCTCATCTCAACGACGGATGAGTTGCCACGCATGTGAGATAATAACAAGAGCCAATGTCTCCCAACTTGCGCAGAGGCACACTATCTCCTCTGATACCAGTCTCATAAGGAGGAGAGGTGTTTGAGGAATGGAAGGTAGAAAGTATGATGGTTGGACGCTAGAAAGCTATCGGATCCCCAAACACATCCTCAAATGACACTCCGGTCCAAAAGAAAAGTCATTTGACGACTTAACTTAAACACAATGACTGGTTGCCTCTCACGTGAGAACACTCATTTTTCAAAACATTTAAAAATTGAACACAATTTTTCAAAACCTTTTAGAGTCCAAAATGGTGGAGAGTCACACACATATGAACTAACCTTGATAATAAACAGTAGCAAAACCTATCATGTACCGACATCCTTCTTAGCTCTACATTATTTCCTATAAAGCACACCATCACAATCATCTAACAATTCAAAGCACAATGAGTAGGTACATGCATTGGACAAGGTGTTTGGAATTCACAAATTTTTTAAAATTTGAGCATGCAATGTCATAACGTCTTATTTGCACATGTTTGCACCCCTTTTTTTAACCGTTTTGGCTCGAATCTGTGTTTCCTTGAACTATTTTATGTTGGCTTGTGCTCTTTCGTCACATTTCGGGTCCTAGTCGTTAAAGGAAGGCCTTGACGTGAGTTTCGGGTCTTTTGGAGGTCATTGGGCGAAAATGGTGGAAACACGGCAGTTTCCCTTAGGAACACGGTCGAGTTTCAACCGGGGGCACGCAGTGCTTTTTAGTGCGAGAGTGATGTCGAGACAGGAGCAAAACACGGGTGGCGTTCTCTAAAACGCGGCAGCTGGTGAAGATTTTTAAACCCGAGCGAGTGGAGACCAAAACACGGTCGTGTTCATCATGGGGCACGACCATGTTTTCAGAAGCGGTCATGTAATCCCCCTGCGCCCAGTTTAAGTTTCCCACGTGACGAATTTAAAACACAGGCTGACTGAGCATAACACGGTGGTGTCCTTGCTCGTGTTCTGCCTAGTGTTAGGTTAAACAGGCTGTTTCGAGCTAAAGAGGGGAGAATTGAGTTTTCAGAGCAAAAATAGAATTTTAGAGAGAGAAATGACGAAGAACAAGCCCTATGATCGATTTTGGAGCTGGGTTTCATCTTTCAACCTTAGATTTCGACCTTAGAGTGCAGATTTACATCCCAGAGTTTATCATATACATCATTATGAGTATGATTTCTCTTATTTCTGTTTCCCCCTCCCTCCCTCCCTCTCTCTCTCTCTCTCTCTCTCTCTCTCTCTCTATGGAGTAAACCTTTCTCTCACTTGGGTATGATGAACCCTAGTTCCATGTATTAGGATCTCGATTGTAATGACTTTTGGATAATGTACTGATTGGTTTTAATCGATTGAAGTGTGTTTATTGAGTCAATTGAATCCTGATCAACTTCTTTTGATTAATGCTTCAACCTATGATAGATAGAATCTGATTAGGTTGCTATAGATTTTTCAATCGATAGGAGTGAATTGATTGTACGAGAGTCAGTCAATTCACTGCTTTGTACTGGAATCCAATTCCCGTAGTAGAGTTCTGTGTGAATCACCTTAGCAGTTTATTCCGATGAAGGCTAGTCGTCTGCCGGATATTCTGTCTAAGAGGGCTTGGTCAACTTAAGAGATTCCAAACTATTTTCGGATCTTCCGCAGTCTAATCAACAGTAATCAACCAAAGGGAATTACAACTTGAACCTAACTGAGGAGCTAGGGGGACTCATTCCCGAGTGACTCTTCTTCTGCTAAGGAAACCGAACAATTTACTGCTTTCTTTCTGCTTTAGATTATAATCACAATCACTCAACTCTTACTGCTAGATAATAGAATTTCACGGAGTAGGCAGTAGATCTAGACCCTGGGTTGATAAATAAAGCTTGCCCACTATTCTGCATTTTCATTCATTGGTTACACTTGGCCAGTGTTTGGTGTTGTGTAAGAGTGTGTCACAATGCTAGGTTCCAAAACACTCTTTATGTAGGTCACAAACAATTTATCCACACACATATGTGCTTGGAGCCCTCATTTTTGCAATTTGGGCATTCATTAAGACTCCAAATCATTCATAAATTAGATCATATGTTTTATTCACACCATTTATTCACACATACACACATCATGGATCACCCCACACACTTAAGCACGACATTGTACTCAATAGATGAAATATACAGAGGGTAAAATAAAGTTACCGGATTAGGTGTGAACGATGGTGGAGGGAATAGGAGGACGGGTGAGATTAGAAAGAGCAAGCCAACATCCAAAACACTGCAAGCTCTGAAAGGTTGAATTATTGACTTCATATCCAAAACAAAGTGAAAGAGAGTACAAACCGGAGTGGTTGGGTTGCCTCCTAATAAGCGCTTCTTTCACGTCATGAATCGGATGGTGATGCTCAAGTTTCGGTCCATCCCAAAACCTCCTTGAAGTTGAGGTTCTCGTCGGTGAGGTTGTGTCTCAAGTCACGAGCATATGGTGTAGTAAGTGATGAATGTTCGTGTACTTAATATTAATAGGGTACCGATTTGAAAATAGTCAAGGACGCAAACCTATTTATATGTTGTTATATACTACGTTGTAAGTAAGCAATAAGATACCAAAAATCTAAGAGGGAGATACTCCCTGTGGACTAGTGTCATAGTGACGATAACACGTTAAAAACTCTTGTGTTTTTTTGTTTCAGCTTTGATTATTTGATATGCATATGAAAGCTCCCCTAGCGTTTCCTTGACTCAAGACCACGTTACAATACATGCTATATGTAGCTACGATTCAGACAATCGTTTACCGCTGCCCCGTAGGCTCGCGGGATCTCCAACCTATGAGTTGCAGTTGTCACAGCATGCAACCAATCTGCATATGGGCGTGTGTTGCATTTGAAGCGGTGTACATCTTTTCGACGCAGGTGATCAAACCTTTCAATACACAAAACGAGGCGATTTTGCGTAAGTGCATCATTCTATAACCTTGGAGCGGAAAAGCGGCCTGTCAAGGCACTGGTAGAATAGAACTTAGGGCGACCAATAAACTAAAAGTATTAGAGTAAATTTAATATAGTTAGAACGACGAATAACCATTTTTAGGACCAAATAGCAATTCCCATGGTCGGCTCCGCCACTCGCTAGTAACATGGCAAGAACCCACGCAAAATCTATCACTGCTATTGTGGAAATGAAAGACTTGAGTTTATTTTGGGTTACTACATAACATGGCGAAAATCTACAAATTGTGCAATGAAACGATGAGATGGCAAAGAAGAAGAAGAAGCCAGCAGAAAGAAACTCAAACCCAATTCCAACTGCAAAGTTTCTCTTCCCCAAACCAACACACACCCCATTTCAATCTCTTAGTCTTACATCAAATCCTCGATTATACATTCAACAACAAGCGGTAAGAAACCATGGCGACAACATCAAATTCCCCCTTTTCCTCAGTTAACAGTGACCTTGCCAACCATGCCGGCGCCCTGGTGAGGAGAGCAGTAGAAAGTGTACTCTCCTTTCTCAGTCAGGGCCACCTTGTAGGTCTCCCCAGGCGCATTCAGCAGATCCTCCTCCGACATCGAGATCTTGGACGCGTCCACGCCGCTGGGGATCTCGTCCTCGTCGAACACGATGTTGTGGGGGAACCCGGCGTTGTTCTTGAACGTGATGGTCTCACCGGCGGCGACGGTGAAGCTGTTGGGGACGAAGGCCAGGGAGCCGTCGTCGCTGCCGAGCAGGATGTCGATGGCCATTGCGTTGCCCGCCAGCATCGCGGTGGCGGCCGTGGCGGCCACGGCGATGCCCAGGTCCTTCATTGAGGCCCTGACGCCGGCGAATTTCGGGGCTGCGGCGACGGAGACCCTGGCGGTGGTGGTGGCTGCGGCGGTGGACTTGGCCGACTTGAGGCCGGTGAATGATGGGATGGCAACAGCTGCTGAGGTGACGGTGGCCATGGCTGGAGCTAGAAAGGAGAAGGTTAATTGGGTTTCTGGTTTTTGTGTTCTGATGTTTGGCCGCAGAAATTGAAGGGAATGGATGAGATGTGGGAGATATAAGAGATGGGGGTGAGATATTGTTTGAAGGTTTTTGGTGGTTTGTGTGGTGTAGATTGTGGGATTGGAATGAGAGGATGGAATGTGGAATGGGCAATGGAAAGATTGAGGTTTTATCTTATCAGAGATGTTCTGATTGGCTGGTTGAGGATCCTGGTTTGTAACGTGGCAGTGTGATGTGGCAGGGGTGTGTAGTTTCGAGTTTTGTGAGAGGATTAAAGGAGGAGATTTGACGATGGCTCCAGCATTCAGCAATGTAGTGCTTGGCATCAAAATGGGTCAAAGGTAATCTTATCCATACCAGATGCTGTAGCTAACAAGCAAAATCAGTATACATAAGTTGTCCAGGGTTACTCTGCCGACAACGAAACTCGCCGATCCCTAAACGATTAGAAAACTCGAGGACCTAACGGTTTCATAGACGGTGTCAAGAACCAGTTGATCCCAATAACTCGAGTTGTTGGGAGAGGTTCAATCGTGGATCATATACCATAACACTAACACGCCCCCTCAAACGAAAGCCAACCCATGGGCTTGAAGTTTGCACAGGCCCACCATACCACCGTGTCAAGAACCGGTTGCTCCCAATAACTCGAGTTGTTGGGAGAAGGTTATGTTGGATCTTATACCACTCTCTAACACGCCCCCTTAAACGAAAGCCAACCCACGGGCTTGAAGTTTGCACAGGCCCACCATACCATGTGCTTGAAAGACAACGGTTAATATTGGGGGTCGTGGAGATTCGAACACATGACCTTTTGGTTCGAGGCTCTGATAGCTTGTCATGAACCAGTTGCTCCCAATAACTCGAGTTGTTGGGAGAGGTTCAATCGTGGATCATATACCACAACACTAACACGCCCCCTCAAACGAAAGCCACTCACAAGGGCTTGAAGTTTGCACAGGTCTGAAGACAAGAATACCATGTGCTTAACAAATGGGGGTCACCGGGAATCGAACACAAGACCTCTCGGTCACAGAAGGCTCTGATACCATGTCATAAACCAGTTGGTCCCAATAACTCGAGTTGTTGGGAGAGGTTCAATCGTGGATCTTATACCATTCTCTAACACGCCCCCTCAAACGAAAGCCAACCCATGGGCTTGAAGTTTGCACAGGCCCACCATACCATGTGCTTGAAAGACAACGGTTAATATTGGGGGTCGTGGAGATTCGAACACATGACCTTTCGGTTCTAGGCTCTGATACCATGTCAAGAACCAGTTGATCCCAATAACTCGAGTTGTTGGGAGAGGTTCAATCGTAGATCATATACCATAACACTAACAGACGGTACCCTAGGCGCCAATTCGTGTTCTGGCGGCTTCTTCCAAGTCGCCATTGAAGTAGTGGGAAGAGCTCAATAGCTATTCTCAGACCACAGAGATTATTCTGGGGGGACTCGGATGAATCTGTATAGGAATAGATCGATCCATTTTGATTTATGTCGTAGAAGAAATCTTCAATGTTTATCGCCTTCGAGATGTGCCTTCCCCCTTGAGAAGTTAGAGAAAGGTTAGAGATTAGCCACTCACAGTCCTCTTGTCCGTCCAGAAACAATCAGCCTGTACTTTAGTCATCTAAGGGGGAAGTCAATCTCGACCTTCAGCTACCTATTGAATAGGCATGAACTCGCCAGGAAACGATACATCGATATTCACCTGATGTGCAGCTATAAGCACATACCAAGCCATTCATCACATTCTATAGGTTTTTCAATTTTCAGCCATTGATCAAACGGCAAGAGCAAGAGCATCCCTCTAACTGAACATAATCGCGTATCGACAAATAACAGCATATCTAAAGTCTACCATCAATGCTGCAAGTGAAAATCCTATTCCCATATCTGAAAATTTTCTACCATCCAAACAAGCAAGAATACAAGATAGCACAAGTCCATGCTCTCCAATGACTATTACCAGTATATTATCTTCTAGTTCATCGACGAAACCGGGATTTGACACTAGACTTTACATATGAATGAACAACAAGACATTGGTCTGACGTGCTTAGCACCTGATAAACATGAACTAGCCTCTAATCCCAACAGCAGGTAATAGCATTATTCCCAAAGGAACAGACCGAACCACCATAAATAACAGAACAGAGAGAGGGTTTCATTTCATATATACAAACACCTGGTAGTATGTATCAGAATGTACACAGTATATAAAGCGCTCACCGGTTTCTCCAGCCTTCCTTTAGATCGGAAACGAAACATTGCCATCATCGCCATCGTGATCATCCTCATCTTCATCCACATCGAAGAATCTAAACACACCACCATCCCATTTCGAGTCCTTGTACTTGAAACTCGGGTTCACATAACACTTCATCTCATGAAACAAGTTCAGATTATCCACCAGCTTATGAAACACATTGCATCCACAGCACTGCCAAATTAGCAAAGCACACCAATTAACAAGAGCTTCTCATGATGATCAATTCCCTATACTAAGAAATCCGCAGCACAGACGACCAATTTTCATCGAGAGAATCGAATTCTCGTTCGTACCTGAACAAACACGGTGCCATCGGTGTAGGCGTGAGGGTTGATCGCCCTGGTTGTGCGTTGACCGCAGACGTTGCAAGTGAAAGCCACACGCATCCTCCGGCGAGGAGACTTGGTGAAGAGAGACCACGGTAAGGTGGAAACCTTTTCCGTATTGGATCCATCCTCAGCTCCGGCGGGTGCCGGCGGCCCTTCCATACCCGAACCAGTCGTCCATCCCCTCAGCGACGCCGCGCTGAGAACCAATCCCATGGCGTCATCCTGATTGAAATTGGACTATAATTTACCAAAGGATCAGCTCCAAAATCACGAAATCAGAATCCGAATACAAGGAAATGAAAAGAAAAAACAGAATAGAGATTTGAGACCTTGGAGAGGGCGTTGCGATTGAAAAACGGGACGATGCTGCTTGAGTCTTTCGAATCGGAGCTCGAGCGCAGATCTGAGTTGTCTCCGTCGTCTGGATCAATCGATGACGGAATTCGAATCAAATGGAAACTTGCCGACTAGGAATCGATTTGTTGGAGAGAAGGAAAGGGGGGAAGGGAGCTTACTTTTGGGGGAAGAATTGTGGCATCGGAGGAATCGGCAGGCAGAATCCTTGTTTCGCTTCTGTGAGAAGAAGGAGAGGGAAGAAGATGAAGAAGAGGAGACGATGGTGGCGGCAGAGGAGCTCAGAGCTTCCATGGCGGGTCTCGCAGCGATGGACACAGAAGAACGATGACGTGACTGATTCTTTTGGCTTTTTGGATGGCAGACGCGACTGAATCATTTTGTTTTTGTCCGACATTTGTTCATATATCCCACGAATTTGGGCTCAACCGCTCAAGTATGATTAATGGGCTAATGTGAGATCAGCCCACTATATCTCAGTGGCCCGCTCAAATAGTTAATGCCTAAACCATTCTGCTACGGATGCTGCTGCAGGTTGCGGACATTCATGCCATCAGATCCTTGGTCAGAAAAATATTAAGACGTCCATTTGGTGGTTTGTTATGTCCTGTTTATGTAATCATGAATGCTGAAAAAGTTTCATTTCGTTTCACGTTTCTGGATTGTGCTCTCAATAAGCTTTGTTTCTATTTCATTTCATTGTATCTTTAACTTTGTCTTCAGTTTGAATGATTTAATAAAAAAAAGGGCTAATACCACTGGAAATACCAACCTTTAGCGAAAGTGCCATTTATATTATGTAACTATCGATATGACATTTGTATACCAAAATGTCTATTCCGTTAGTTGGACCGTTAAATTTAACTGTGAGACTTTTCAACGCCCAGTCAACGCTTAATAGGATCCTATGTGGCACGCTGACATGGACAATCATATGTGTTTGTTAATTTACTAAAAGAAAACAAAAATATAGAAAATGTAAAAATGGGAGGCCACACGTTTCTTTTCATTCTCACCCTTTCTTCTTTGCACTCTCGAGCCATGAACAGAGGTAGAATCCTTGAAAAAAATTCCCAAAATCAACAAGGTTGGTGGAATCAATCTGGGTCGTGGAGGCGGGGGCTTCAGACTTTCCTCTTCCCCACTTTATGGGTATCGTCGTTGGTCCAACTTTCTCATCGTATTTCCGGCGACGTCCCTCCCCCGACACCATTTCTAGCGACATCTCTGTTTGAAGCCAGAAGACTCGACGCGGCGGCCACGTCTCGACCTCCCAAAGAAATCCATGGTAGAGGAGACATGTTGGCAGAGTCGAGGAGCTTCAGAATCTCTAGATCTGCCATCACCCATCATAGTCGTTTTGCAGGGGAGAGAGGGTCTGGTATAGAATCAATTCACAGAGGGTTCGGTTATGGATCCCATATGGGATTCTGGAGGATTGTGTTAATCCAATGGTTCAGGATTTTATCGTTCGAATAGCTGGAGGAGAACAGCGACGCCAACGCCGTCTGGTGGCGATCGATCGAATTGGTCGGGTTTGGATAGGAATTGGGGTTGGGTTCTCTAGATTTTCCTTTAGAAATGAAGTCGATTTGCAGAGGAGGACAGAAAAAGTGCGAAGGATGCTAATCTAGAATCGATCGGAGCTGGGTTTCCGCCGGTTGAAGGGGAAAGGAAATGATTTTGGTAGTTTTGATCGACTCTTGTGGCAGTCAGTGATCCAGTCTCCCCAGTCGCCGATCCAACGATATGCGGCATGTCCATGGCAGAAACGATGGGTGAGGACTGAGGAGGGTGTCGACCTTGATTTGGAGTGAGGTCGTGAGGCGCCGGGGAGACCACGACGAGTCCGCCGTGAATGAGAGGCTTTTTTTGGGATTTTTTTGTGTTAATTTTTGGGAAATTTTTTATTATTTAATTGTAATGATAATTTGATTTTTTTAAATATTTATTTCTTATGTGTCACATATATGGATGACACATAAGCGCCACATCATTAATGGTCAAACATAAGTTGACTACCGTTAAGTCAACCGTTAACTCTAACAGTCAACTGAAATTCGTGTAACACAAATGACACTGAACCCCAATAGGTTGGAGTATTTTTGTGATTATTGGAATTCTGTAATATAAATAGCACTTTCGCTAAAGGTTGGTATTTCCAGTGGTATTAGCCCTAAAAAAAAATTAATAACTTCTTCTGGACCCAATTATTACCATATAATCAATTTTTGCCCGTGATTTGAGAAATTAACATCCTGGCCCGAACTTTGCAGCATATAGACTTATTTGGCCGGAAGTATGGTTTGACTGTTTGTTTGGACGGTCAACACCATTAACCGTTAGTCAACTGTCCAGGTCATCGCCATGTCAGCACCAAAGAAAAAAAATCAATTTTCAATTTTCTTTTATTATTTCCTTTACCTAATTAAACAAATGCAGGAAAAAAATATTTTCCGCCACCCACACCATATCTCATCGCCTCTTTCCTTCGAACAAAACCAAAAAATCCCTAAGAAACTCTTAGAAGGGTAGAAATCGGTGGACGCTTCTTCGGTCGAGGGATCGAGTCTAAAGAAGCCGCAGCAGGTGTCGACGATGCAGTCATGGATTTCAGTACTGGAGAAGGGGATTTACCGGAGGAGGAGAAAGAGCTACCCAATTGAAAGTTCCTTGTCTTGTCCAGAAATCGACAGCAGATCTGGGCGTAGACCCTGCCGAGGAAGAAGGCGGGAGGGAGAGCAATGAAGAAGGAATATGGGTATTGAGCTAAGAACGAACAGAACCATTCGACTCTCGACGGGTGATTTCGTTGACGAGCCATGACTTGGGGGATCTTGTTATGATCGCGGAAGAGAACGTCGCCGACCCGATTTTAGGGGAATCGAGCTTGTCCTACTCCTGGCTCCGCTTGGGAGCCTCTTTCCTTCTTCGAGAAAGCGGTGGGGAAATTGAGGGTCTGGGATTTCTAAATAAGAAGAGTATGGACGAGAGAGAGAGAGAGAGAGAGAGAGAGAGAGAGAGAGAGAGAGAGAATGGTGACTGAGATAGTCTCCACCACCACCTGCGTCAAAAAAATGTTCTGATGAGGGAAATCTCTGCCACAATGGAAAGTAATAAGGTCACCGCCTGGGGAAAAAATTAGAAAGAAAGAAAGTTGAGGCAATCATGTATGCGATTCTTGGAGATAAAACGAGAGTAAAAGTAAAATCGAGATGGAGAAGAAGAGATTTTTTTGGTTTGTCCGAAAAAGGAAAGAGGGGTATAATGTGGTGGGTTGCCGAAATTATTTTATTTTATTTTTCGATTTTTTATAATTAGGTAAAGAAAATAATAAAATAAAATTGAAATCCCATTTTTCGAAAAAGGAAAGAGGGGTATAATGTGGTGGGTTGCCGAAATTATTTTATTTATTTTTCGATTTTTTATAGTTAGAGAGTGGTATAAGATCCAGCAGAACCTTCTCCCAACAACTCGAGTTATTGGGAGCAACTGGTTCTTGACATGGTATCAGAGCTGGTTTGGCCAAGTGGTCGTGTGTTCGAATCTCCACGGCCCCCAATATTAACAGTGGATTAAAGCACAAGGTATGGTGGGCCTGTGCAAACTTCAAGCCCATGGGTTGGCTTTCGTTTGAGGGGGCGTGTTAGAGAGTGGTATAAGATCCAGCAGAACCTTCTCCCAACAACTCGAGTTATTGGGAGCAACTGGTTCTTGACATTCTTTAGTGCTGATATGGGTTGACTTGGACAGTTGACTAACGGTCAATGATGTTGACCGTCCAAACAAACAATCAAACCATGTTTCCGGCCCAATGAGTCTATATACTGCAAAGTTCGGGTCGGGATGTTAATTTTTTAAATCACGGGCCAAAGTTGATTATATGGTCATAGTTCGGGCCAGAATAAAGTATTAACCCAGAAAAAAAACCTACCATAACGTTTGGTTGCATGTGGTAGGTTTTGTTGCGGAATAACTCTTTGGACAATTTAGAGATAACGAAAAGTTCGAGTCAAAGAGGTTGTTAGGTCAAAGCTTGTGTCAAACTTGGATGTTAAACCTTTAAATTTGAATGTAGTAATCTACTATAATTTTTTTTAGTTTGGATGAAGATTTATTATGATAATCTTGTAAGGTTTTAGGCATTCACCAAGAAGGTAAGAAATATGAGATTTTTCTGTGTTGTTGTTGATATTACATTAAATGCCAGGGGTGATAGACTAAGAATCTCGTAACGTCTTAATCATCCATGACAATGTCATCATCCTATTGCTAGTATAGATTAATGGATCGTTAGTAGTTGGCAAACATCAATGTCACTCGTGTGAACATTAGAAGTGACTCTTCTTATTTAATTAACCAAGTCTTGGTTGTTCTGAGAACTACATATGCTAAAACAAGCAAATCGTTTTTACAATCTTGGACGAATCACACTACATCAAATGAGATAGATATATGGGATTCTACCCCAAAAGAAAAAAAAGATACATGGAGGAGAATAAATGGTTGCCTGGCTTGTTTGCTTTCTATCATTGTAGTTGTCAATTAGACACATAAGAAAAGAAACACTGAACCCTCACAAATCAAACTAAACTATTACATCATTAACTAATGAGAATCATTAGATGATATTCTCCTCTGCCTAACCACTTTATTTCATTCCCAAGTACACACAACAACAACTCAATTAGTCGACATTATATTCCCTAAACCACATACTCCGCATACCCACGCAGGCACGCACCGTCATCCAACGGCTCGCCTTAGCTCTTTCAACTTTGATCAACGGTATACGCAAGGTGTGTCAAGATCCGACCCGTATCAAACCCATTGAAGTTCGACCCGGCCGCCGCAGTATAAGCTCCCATGTCCGGAAACACCAGCCAGTCGTTCACCCCAAGCTCCGGCAGCTGCCGGCCTGTGAACACAGTGTCCAGCCCATCACAAGTCGGCCCAAACACCGTCGAGCTGAACGTGGGCTTTCCTTCACACTTTGGGTCCAGCCCATTCGAAGCCACCGCCAAGGGCACGCACTTAACCGTCGCGTGGTCGTACAGAATGCAATTCATCGAGCCGTAGAGCCCGTCGTTAATCCAGTACTCCCTCCGCTCGCCCCTCACGCGCCTCCCGATCACCGCCGCGGCCAGCGTGAACGCGGACTCGGCGAAGAACCGGCCCGGTTCGCTGACCACGTTCAGACCCGGCTCGCCCGAGAAGTAATCGTCCAACGCGGCACGGATCTCGGAAGCCGCGGCTTCAAATTGGGGGCCCGATGTGAATCCTCCCCCGATGTCCAGCGTGTGCATCCGCGGCAAGCCGAGCCGGCTCGCCGAGTCGAAGACGGCTCGGGCCGCCTCAATAGCCCCGCGGTAGGTTCCGGATCCGGTCTCGCCTCCGCTGCCGATGTGGAACGATACGCCGACGACGGAGAGGCGGAGGGATTGCGCTTTGGCGAGGAGGGGGTCGATCTCTTCGGGGAGCGCGCCGTATTTGTCCCCCAGCTGGCACCGCGCGCCGCCGTCCTCCGGCGGCTTGATACGGATGAGCAATTCGCAATTCGGGTGGAGCCGGCTCATCTTCTCGAGCTCGTCGGCGGAATCGAAGGTCGTGAGGTTGACTCCCTTTGCGGCGGCGTAGGCGATGTGCGATTCGGGCTTGCAAGGGTTGGCGAAGAGGATGCGGGATGGGGAGACGCCGAGGGAGAGGACGGATTCGATCTCGGCACGGCTGGCGCAGTCGAAGCTCGCGCCGAGGTGGGCGAGGGAGCCGAGGAGGGCAGATTCGGGATTGCACTTGACGGCGTAGAATGGGTGGACCGTGGGGAGGGATTTTGACCACGTTTCCATTAGGGATACGACGGTTCCCAAATCCAGGACGTAGAAGGGCTCACCTCCGCCGCTCGATTCCTTGTCGGCGGAGATGATTGAGCGGAGGAAATCGGTCAGGCCGCCGTCCTTGGGTATTGTGGTGACGGTTCTGCCCTTGATTCCCGATGCGGCAATTATGCCGGCGGCGGCGGCTGACGACCGCGAGATTGCTACCATATTGGCGCGAAAGGTAGGGGAGAAGGGTTTTTTTGGGCGGAGATTTCGGGGGAGCGAAACGGTGCGTATTTATAAGGGGGGTTTTCCCTGGAGGCAGCAAGGAGGGGATGGAAGGGAATCGCCGCCGCTTAATGTTGGTTGGTGAAAAGAGCGTGAGGAGATTTTATGCTAAATACTGTAGCGGCGTTTCGGCAAATTAGGGTTTTGTGGGATGGGGATTAATTAAGAGATTATGGGGAAATATGTTTTAATTATTGTGGGTTATGGGGAGATGAATCCATGGAGATGTTGTTGGCGAGAATAAAAGCACTAATGGAGATATTGCTTTTAGGCTTTTAGCCATCTTAACCATAGAGGCATAGAACGATCATTTTGAGGTAGTCAGTTTTGAATTTGTGGACTTCGTTTATATTTCTTTTCCGTTAGATTTGAATAAAGTGCGGAATTGTATTGGGTTTCAATTTCAATCTATTAATCTACTAGCTTATTACCCGGCCCGTTGGCCGGATTACTGTATGTTACCTACTTGTGGAATGGGAGAGAAAGCAAGTGAGAGTGAAAGGATTGGGATTCCACTTGATTAGGACCGACCCACTAATCCAATTCTTCCCGACCCGCCCCAACCTACAGGGTCAGAAAGAGTCAATAAGAAAATACGAACGGGGAGGATTAGTCATATATCTTGACTCTTCAAAGGTGGGTCAAACAGGATCAAGGTTGGGTGAGGGCAATTTTTAGCGCTAAGCAGAGTTCTGGGTTGAATACCTTTACTTAGGCCTAGAAATTGGTGTTGATGCAGACTGCAGTTTTTATTATACCATCATTAATCATCATTGAATTAGTCCTGGGCATCCCTCCCCGTTGTCGGTCTGAATTCTAATGATGGCTTCATTCCTTGCACCAGCCATATCAGCGAGTTGCCATCTCGAGCATGATTTGCCTATGTACAAATAATACAATTAGAGTATGAAAATGAATTCAATGAAAAGGAAAAGAGAATTCTATCACATGCCAATAAATACACACATAATAGTTGAAGCTAAGTGAAAGTCATTACTCGCACATCAATTCTCAAAAATTACAGACTAAACATTGGCTAGAATGGCACTGAAACTACCAAGAATCATGGACGAAACAACTTGTCAAATTAAATAATCCTTATACTGAAACTACCTTCTAACTTGAAATAAGACATGATCACAGTTCATAGCTCTCTTCTCACTATGAATTGGTTGCAGCTCGTCCTTATCACTGCCTCTCAAGCTCAATTCAAACAGAATAGAGACTGTTATGTAAGATAACCATATTCTTACTGATCATAATTCCTTTCTTCACTCCATTTTTGTCGGAGAAAAGAGTTATCCCCCTCTCCTGCATTTCCCTTTCCCCCTCTCTTCTCCCTCTTCTTCACAAACCGATCCCTAAACCAGCAACAACACAAAAATAGCCTTCGCCTCTCCCGTCTCCATCTAATGAACGCGTTGGTGGCAAGACAGGACTGCAGAAGCAAAATTTTCTAAAATCAAACTAAATTTTTTGAAGCAGACTCAACCACGAAAAAAGAGTAAAGCAACAATGCAGTAGAACCCTAAATTTAACTACAATCAAGCACATATCAGCAAGATTTTCGATTTGTCTGAGAGTTAACTACACGGAGAGAACAATTGATGCATAATTGAAATGCTCCAAGCAAGTTGAAGGCAAACCATAACTTTAGAATTTGGTCATTATAATAACCTTCAAGTATTGATGCTTCTAAGAACTATCATGTCCAACCCCCACTTATACAACTACGTAGCCATAGTAATTAGTTGTATAATGAGAAATATTACAAAGAAAACTACATAAACAACCAATGTAAGTAAATATTAAAACTAACAACTGATAAAACTTAAAATCTCTCTATTGGTATTAATGTATCTATTAGTAACTACTATGCAATCGAGTATATATGATTTTTAGGCACTGAATAAGAAAAGTATAGATGGCTCACAAATGAAGACGTATCAACTGAAGGTAGCACACAAAAACCAAAAATAGAAAAAGAGATAAGAAAAAAGGCGAGAAAAAGTCAAACAAAGAAAAAGCCCACATAGGAATACCTCGCTAGCTTTAGGGATTCTCTGCCACAACAAACAACCTTCTTAAAAATCTAACACCCTGGGACATCAAACAAACCTCCCACGACACTAATGTATGGCATTCCTATTGTCCAATAGGTTTGCCCAATTTAGACTTCTAAATAAATGGACTTTTCACCATTAAACCAAAACTCACAATCATTAACAGTTAATGCAAAGACATACATTTCTGAGGCCAATCACAGCATTTAAGCATAATTTTTAGTTGAAAAGAACAACTGAGTATTTAGCTAAATGATATAGTAGAATGGACACAATCTGCTACCTACTAATGATATAAACGTGTACCGGTACCATCGTTGTATCCTGACTTGCCATTTGCAACGGGCACTTTGAAAGACAGCTGCATTTTAGAGAATAAACACCCATAAGGGCGTTACAAAACCAAGCTTAATCCAAAATCTTCATATTCCACTTCGAAGACTCCATTTTCAAAAATAAGAGAGTTTAACATGTCAAATCACTCATTTGAAAAATCTCAAACAACTATTAATCAATGCAATATAAAGGCACGTTCCAAATTATGTACTTGTAGGAATAATCCCAAATAATTATCAATTAATGCCCCAACTACCTAATGTGCAGAATAGCCCTGGAGCTGTGCTGTTGTTTGCGTTGGTCTACCTTGAAACATAACATAGTTGCATCACGAACCAAAGCAATTAAGCAAAAATCTTCATATTCCAAGTAGAATGACTCAATTCAATTTGGCCAACGCTTTATACATATTGTTTACCCCTGGACCTGTTGCACTTGCGCCTTCAGATCTTCGTGAACACAATACAATTGCGGAGAGGAGGCTGTCAACGGAATTAAAATTGTTAATTAAGTGAATCACACCAACTAAACAAACGCGCTCTTCTTGATTAGCTATCAAAATAGTGGGGGTCGCTACAATCCATCGGTTGCTCCCTCTGCGCCTAAGTTGTAGATATTAGGTTTCAGTGAGAACTTTGAGTACATGAGGAGATATTTTGTAGTGGAGGAGATGACCCGGCGAGTAGAATAGGAAGATTTGGAGAGGCTGCGATGGACAAAGCAGTTAAAATCGAGATTTTACCTAAAATCGAAAACTGGGGTAAAATCAAAATCGTATAATCGAATCGTAAATCGTAGGATTTTAAGTACCATATAGAACATAGCATATAAGAATATTAATAAGGTAAATTATTAATATCACAATGACACATAGCATTTAAAATGATAATTCAGAAGATTTTTTTTCCATAAGATAATTCTCAAGATTAATGTTCCAAAATCACTATTTCAATTGTTATTTAATGTGTAACTCAAAATAATTCATGATGAAGAGATATAGTTCATGGGTTTGGCTCTTATTTTCATGTTATGTCTAGGTTGTTTAACTCAAAGTAATATTTCGACATCGTCTACTAAGTATGATTTAAAACTAAAAATAATTGAACTCCAATAAAATAAGTAATGTTAGTGGGTTGGTACAAATATATTCATTAATAAATTAATTAGTTAATAATGATGTTAGTTCTTACATACTTCCAATATTAGGACAGGTGTTTTACCAATAAGTTAAATGGGGTGAAGGGAAAGAGATTAACCGAACCCTAATTTGGTTATTTTTATTATTTTTGAATATTTTTCTAATAGAAAAATATCTGAGAAGATTCCATTGCCCTTTCCGCTGAAACAGTTATACTTATTTTAAATTGGCTCAAACCACCTATTTTGTTCTCTTACGATCAAAATCCCGATTTCGATACTATTTTACGATTTTAACGATTTTAGTCCCGATTTTAAATGATTTTAAGGTCCACCGATTTTATAGTAAAATCAAGATCGGAATCCCTAAGTAAAATCCTAAAATCCTTCGATTTTATGATCAAAATCCCGAATTTGACTGCATTGGCGATGGGTGCACGATTAGTGGGCCAAATAACAGTTTGGGCCCGTTTAAATGAAAACATATTTTTACTTTCGTGCTCAACAGACCGACCGCACTGGCATCTTCTAAATTTACCCCTAAAAAATTGCTCTGTACGCATCAAATTTGAAATGGAATCCCTCTTTTCTCATTTCACATTTATATGATGTGTAGATTGTGATGAGTGTAGATGTAGACCTGTCATTGTCCTACAAATTCATTAACACGCCAAAAAGTGGTGAAATGAGCCACCCTATTAAACACAATCTTGTATAATGATAATTGGATCCAATCATGCCAGATTATGAAGAAGTTTAAAATGTAGCGGTTATCCCGACTAAAACATTAAAAGAACCAGTCTCATATAGTTTGCACAAAGATATAATTTCTCCATAGTAATTCTGAAAAATAATATTAATTTAAGAAGTCGATATTGCTTCTACATGTTTAATATTGCAATTCGATATGCAATATTCGAACCAGTGATATTTGGGCTGCAATTTTAGGGTTATTGTATATTTATAAAATAGATAGAAATTTAAATTAAGTATTAAACTACAACTAAAATAATCAAAGTATTAAAACACCAAATAAGTACTTACGGGAGATTCAGTGGCCAACTAATCGTTCAAAAAGTCATATGATTTTCATAATTTAGGTTCGTGTATGTTTGAATTTAAATAGATACAACAAATATACTTAGTGTGATTGGTTATGATCCTTGCTTGCCTTTAAAGAGACCAATGTTCAAATTCCAGTGCATGCCTTTTTTATGAATAAATAAATAAGAAAATAAGCAATTGTGAAGACCAAAATGTCCTTCCTATAATCACTCTCGTTGTGCAGGAAATTTGAAATGGAGCAACAGTTTTCATCATTCGGTTTTTATTTATTATCTAGATTATAGAGCTTTCTAAGTTTGTTCATGCTTCATTTTCTTTTTTTAATACATTGTATCATAT